ACAGGGGAAGGGAGGGAGGGATGGGATGGGATGATGGGAACAGAGAAAAAGAGGGAGGGAAGGAGGGAGGGAAGGGGGAAGAAGGAAAAATGGAATGAAGGAAGGAAAGAAGGAAGGAGGGAGGGAGGAGGATGAAGACAGAGAAAAGAAGGGAGGGAGGGATGGGATGGGATGATGGGAACAGAGAAAAAGAGGGAGGGAAGGAGGGAGGGAAGGGGGAAGAAGGAAAAATGGAATGAAGGAAGGAAAGAAGGAAGGAGGGAGGGAGGAGGATGAAGACAGAGAAAAGAAGGGAGGGAGGGATGGGATGGGATGATGGGAACAGAGAAAAAGAGGGAGGGAAGGAGGGAGGGAAGGGGGAAGAAGGAAAAATGGAATGAAGGAAGGAAAGAAGGAAGGAGGGAGGGAGGAGGATGAAGACAGAGAAAAGAAGGGAGGGAGGGAGGAAGGAAGAGAAAGGGGAAAGGAAAAATGGAAGGAAGGAGGGAGGGGATGAAAAGAAGGGAGGGAAGGAAAGGGGAAAGAAGGAAAAACAGAAGGAAGGAAGGAAGAAGGAAGGAAGAAGGAAGGAGGGGATGATGGGGACAGAGAAAAGAAGGGAGGGAAGGAAAGGGGGAAAAGGAAAAATGGGAGGGAGGGAAGAGGAAAGAAGGAAAAACAGAAGGAAGGAAGGAAGAAGGAAGGAGGGGATGATGGGGACAGAGAAAATAAGGGAGGGAGGGAGGAAGGAAGAGAAAGGGGAAAGGAAAAATGGAAGGAAGGAGGTGAAAAGAAGGGAGGAAAGGAAAGGGGAAAGAAGGAAAAACAAGGAAGAAAGGAAGGAAGAAGGAAGGAAGAAGGAAGGAGGGGATGATGGGGACAGACAAAAGAAGGGAGGGAAGGAAAGGGGAAAGAAGAAAAATGGGAGGGAGGGAGTGAGGAAGGAAGGAAGATTTCACGTTCTCTTACTACAGGTTGAAGCTGGCTCACCTGGGGATGTGCAGATATAGGAAAAACAAAAGACGCCGTCTGCATTTAACACAATCCGCTGCTCCACAGGAAGTCCTCGACATGCAACAATTCATTTAGTGACTGTTCGAAGTTACAACAACCCTAAAAAAGGGATTGATGGCCATTTCCCCCACTTACCATCCCTGCAGCTTCCCCAGGGTCACGTGCTCAAAACTCAAGACTCTTGGCTCGTATTTATGACGGTCCTGTGATCCCCCGTTTGTGACCTTCAGACAAGCAAAGTCGAGGGGGGAATTCACCGTGCTAGACTAAAGAACTGCAGGGATTCACTTAACAACGGTGGCCAGAAAGGTGGTAAAATGAGACAGTGTTTCTGAGCTTCAACAACTGAAAAAAATGGGAGGACTTCAACTCCCAGAATTCCCCAGCTGGCATGCTGGATGGGGGAATTCTGGGAGTTGAAGTCCACCTATCTTAAACCATTCTGGCTCAGGGATCCTGGGAGTTGAAGTCCACCCATCTTAATGCTGGCTGGGGGATTCTGGGAGTTGAAGTCCACCCATCTTAAAGTTACCCAGGTTGAAACTTTCCCCCAGGAATTTTCAAGTCAAGGAGACAGAAGGCAAAACTCTACCGCTTCATCAGCCAAAGATTATTTTTTGTTTCTAGCGGGAAAAAGGGAAATAAAAAAATAATCTGGCGGAGGGCAAGAAGTCGAAGGTCTCCTGGTAGCTTCCCGAGGTGGCGCTTTGGTTAGAGTGCAGCACTGCAGGCTGCTTCAGCTGAC